GAATACTGTTCAGATCAAAAATTGTGGTAGTTATTACGTTTATCAATTACCTCCACCGCCGGGATGCCATCTTCGCTACTGTTCAGACCGATATGGTAAATAACGCTATCTTTATCTCGTCTACCTCAATTAAGCTAATTGTTCGCACTGAAATCCATTCAAATGACAGAGATAGTGATAATTAATCCTTTTACATATTCTTTTAATTTAAGCAATATGTTATGGCAATTTTTTTAATCTGTTCAGCGAAGTTAACTACTACTATGATAGAAGTTAGATACTTAAAAAGACAGTAATTTTAGTCACTTTCGATATTCTTTTTTGCATTGCACTATTTTCAGCTCTATTTGACAATTATAAAAGATTGCATTACAAATGATATTAAACGTTTATTAATGCAATTAACCTGTGTAGCGATTTGAGCTAATTACAGTAGTTTTATGTAGGCAATACAGTGATAGTATGTAGACTACAACTTGTAATCTCTATTGTATACAGATTATTGTCAACCCAATCCCTGCTTTAATGGTAATTGTCAAACAAATTCGACTGGATTTTACTGTCGGTGCAGAGCAGGATTTGAAGGAACTTACTGCCATCAAGGTAAAATCGTAATTCATACTTACAAAAGCATAAGAAATATCATTCAGAGTAAAATATCTACTGTCCGGGATAAATATAATTTATTTCTTTGCACTAACTTAAATTGACTTTAAGGCAGCTAAGAAATTAAATTTCCTTGTATAGCTACAATAGTCTCGATAGTATAAATTAACTCCTATTGCTTGGTAATTTGACTACTATTTCAGAAATTAAAGAATGTGCTTCTAATCCATGCGTTAAGGGAAGCTGTATAGAGGGTTTGAATGGATACAAATGTAAATGTCTACCTGGCATAACTGGTAGTCACTGTGACGTAGGTAAAGCCAATTACTTAGGAAATAACATAAATTAAACGATTCTGATACTTATAGGCCTTGCAAAGGTATTCCTTATTGTAAAATCACTTTTATAGCTAAATATGTCAAAAGCTGGTTAAAAGTTTTACGTTCTAAACAATATTCTACACTTACACACTGAATACTAAGTACGGTATGCATACATCCATTTTTGCATAATCACTAAAATACGATGATTTTTCTAATAGATGATTGAATATTATATTACTTTTAAATTAATGGAATTTAAAACCGATACCGGTATTAATACAAATCTCGAATCTTTATCTGCAAGATTGAAAGCGCTATACAATTAAATAAAATCTAATATTTCAAATTTTTGAACCATCATGTTAGACTATTCCCTTTATTATCGTAATAACGCTTAAATTTAAAATTATTAATACTTTCCTTCAATTTACTTTAATTTCAGGTCAATGTATTAATAACCAATGCTCGCATGGGGTTTGCATTGCAAATGAAAATGGCTATACGTGTAAATGTAATGAAGGATACTCTGGTCGATACTGCCAAGAGGGTACACTAGCTTTTGCCGATAGATTTTAAAAAGCTTTATTAATCGGAAGCTGCCTTAATTCAATTCAGCAAGTTATCCCTAATGATGTCGATAATGTTTCTTTGAAATTTCTGTCATTACTTTAATAAAACACACATGACCGCAATCGCTTGTAAATCAAACTAGATGAACGTACAGTTTCAATTGCAACCTTAGTAGCTAGTACTGTACTATTAGTTCAGAATTGGTTTAATCCAAATAATCATATAATGTTTCTACTATTTATTTTTATGCCTTTAGATTATTGCTCTGACAATAAATGTTTGAATGGAACTTGTATTGCCAATAAAGATGGCTATACGTGCAAGTGTAAAGAAGGATACTATGGCAAACACTGTCAATTGGGTAGATTTATGATCTTTTATAGCTTTGCAGATCTATAAATACCCATATCTTACAATTTATAATTATCAAATAATCTTTATAAATTTTAAACATTTTCTGCATATTTAGATAACTGTTTTAAGAATCCATGTAAGAATGGACGTTGTATTCCGGTTAAATGGGGATATAAATGTAATTGTTCAGATGGATATTATGGTGGTCTTTGTCAATTCGGTTTGTCGATTTATATTATAACTTGCCAAAGCGTCACAGTTATAGATAATAATTACTGTAAATATTTTAGAAACAGCAAATAGACAAAAAATCAGTTGCTTATCAACAAATCAATATAGTTCATATTAGTATTCCTCTTTAACTTTATTGATTGTAAAACTTCACTTGTATAATTTTAATGAAGGTGCTTGCGAACCAAACGAGTGTCATAACAACGGAACATGCGAACCGTTACATAGAAATTATTATAAGTGTCACTGCCCATCGGGATTTTATGGAAGTCATTGTGAATATAGTTAGTTCACTGTATCCATATAAGATACGGATATAACTTTTGAGGAGTTCAACTCATCAAACTGTGATTGATAGACGTAGTAACCAACTATAATTGTGAAATATCGATATTAAACTGTTTATCAATAGAATAATTAAGATTTTGCCAGCATTTTCTCTTGATTACCATAAAATTATGTATATATTTGGTATTTATTAATAAAGGAGTTTGCCAAGTAAATCATTGCCAGAGTAATGGAACCTGTGAACCTACTCGTGGGAATTATTATAGGTGTCGCTGCAAGTCTGGATTCTATGGAAGCCATTGCGAATTTAGTTAGTTCATTAAACAAATATCGTATTAAATGATTTGATCTCAAGTAACTTAAATTCATCAAACTATGATTATTATGAATGGTTATCAACTATTTTAATTATGAAATATCAATATTAATATTAAATTCTTTGTCAGTAAATATTAGTCAAGCTTACTGTATACAGGTATTAATCTCTTCTCTTATGGGCTAAAAAATTTCATGTGTACATATTTTATTAATAAAGGAGTTTGTCAAGTACATCATTGTCAGAATAACGGGACATGCGAACCCACGCTTGGAAATTATTATAGATGCCGTTGCAAGTCTGGATTTTATGGAAGCCATTGTGAAAATAGTAGGTTGATTTGATGAATATAGTGTTAGATAACTAATCAAACTATAGTTGTTAATAAAGTTATCGACTATTTTAAATATGAAATATCAACGTCAAATTGTTTATTAATAAATGAAATTAAGATCATACCGCCTCTGGTGTCTTCTCATGCACTATAATATTTATCTATATATATCTTATTAAATGAAGGAGTTTGCCAAGTAAATCATTGCCAAAATAACGGAATATGCCAACCCACACGTGGAAATTATTATAGATGCCGCTGCCAGGATGGATTCTATGGAAACCATTGCGAAAAATGTTAGTTCACATATATGAATATCGTAATAGACGATATGATCTCCAAAAATTTAGCTTATATTACAATGTAATAGCTATAAACTATGATCAAATATTGTAGAAGAGCTGATTTTAATTGTTAAATCACATACCAATATATTAATCAAGCTCATACTGGTATTACTTCCTAAATTTACTAACAATAACATTTCTTATACATACTTTAACAAAGCTGTTTGTGAACCAAATGATTGCCAGAATAACGGAAATTGTGTACCTTTGTATGGAACTTATTACAAATGTCACTGCCGGGATGGATTCTGGGGGAACCACTGTGAGAATAGTTAGTTCATACGCAAATATCGTCTTAGATACGTCTAAAATAGTTGAAAAATCGTTAATCGCAGTATTTAGTAATCGATTACATAGATGCACGGTATTTAGTGCCAACCATAAAGTTGCACATATTAATAAATTAAGTTTGTAAGAAGTGTTGCAATCTATCATTGTCGAACATAATGCCTAACATTACAATTTTAATGAAGGAGTTTGCCAAACAAATAATTGCCAGAATAACGGAAGGTGTCAGCCAACACATGGAGCTTATTATAAATGTCACTGTCGGGATGGATTCTGGGGAACCCACTGTGAGAATAGTTAGTTCATACGCAAATATCATTGAAGACACGTCACGAATAATTCAGTTTAACAATCGTGAATTATTGTAAATAGTAATCAATTACATAGAAATATTTAGTATTAACCGTGCAATTGCACATAATTAATAAATGAAGCTCGTAAAAAGTATTGCAATCTATCATTGTCGACCATATTGCCTGACATTTACAATTTTAATGCAGGAGTTTGCCAACCTAACAAATGCCAAAATAACGGAAGATGCCAGCCCACACATGGAGCTTATTTTAGATGTCACTGCCGGGATGGATTTTATGGAGTCCATTGCGAATATAGTTAGTTCTTATTCATGCAAATAATTAATTAATCAGATGATTCAATCGGAAATTATCCAAAAGGAAAGCCGTTTCTATATTTTCTAGCAAATTGGAAGGGAACATTGGCAGTTGTTTATATTTACTATAAAATTTTGAATAAATAAAGTAAAAGAAAGTAAAGCGCTACCGTTACTCTTCCAATAGTATACTCGCATCTAGTTGTACTGCCGCATAATTATTTCATAAAATTCTAGCCAGAAGCAAACAGTATTAGATATAATTTCAGATACTCTTCATTTATCATCGTCCCATAATTAATTTGACTATTCCTGCTATTGCAAAAGTGACAAATAATATAAGAGTCCGGAAGAAAAGTAAAGCAAAATATATCCACCTTTGACTTATCCCAATCCAATAACAGTTTTATCGTAGAGTACCGTAGTCAATATATGCAGTTATGAAATACTTTAGAAGTGAGAAAGTATTCATTATTAATTTTTTCGTCAATTAATTAATGAATGTTATACTAGTGCTTCTATTTGCTCTTTAATTTTGCTGATTACATCATTTCACGTGCGTAATTTAATGAAGGGGTTTGCCGAACAAATCCTTGCAAGAATAATGGAGTATGCAAACCTATGCATGGAAGTTATTACAGATGTAGCTGTCGGGATGGATTCTATGGAAAATTTTGTCAACATAGTTAGTTTATTCATAAATTTTTTATTTGATGATGTAATATAGTAGAATTTATTAAAAAATTACACGAATTAATTAAAACTACATTAGATTAGATACGTTTTCAATCAATGCTATTCAATTATCAAATAATATGGCTTCGATCTTTGACATGTAAAATTCATCTAAGTAAATGATATTCAGTTTTTACGTTAATGAAAATCTTTGTAGATTCTAATAATTCAATGGCTAGATAATGAGGTCTAGCTCCATCATAGTTGTAGCCCAATTTTTAAATCATTCGCATCATTTTAGTTACAATCAAGACTTTATAATATGTCGTTTGGGATATAGTAAAGTGTTAAATCCCCTTGATAGTTGTATTCAGTTTTATAGCGAATATCAGTTTAAACGATAGGCCACGAGACTTGAAGAAGCCTTACTTTTGCTCACTTTCTTTCAGCGACAGTATTAAAAAATAAAGTTCATTTCAGTAACACTTTCTAACATTGACTTTAATGACTAATCCATTTTCTCTCTATATGTTTAATTAGGAGTTTGCCAAACAAGGCCATGCAAGAACGGTGGGAAATGTGTACCCCTAAGAGGATTATATTACACATGTCACTGTGCACCTAGATTCTATGGGGCAAAATGTGAAAAGAGAGCGTAGACAATATAAACATAATCATAGCATTTCGGAGTTGGGCTAAACATTGAAGTAATTAATTAAATTTTGTTCCTCAATTATTTTAAGGTTATTTTCAAATAGAATTATGGTATTGACCATATAAATCACATTAGATATAAATAGTCTATTTGACTTTAAATTAGTAAAATAGCCTGCTTAATTAATTACAATATCTGATAGTATACTTTGTTGTGGCTCTTAATACAAACAGCTTAATTACACCATCGCAATATATGCTACTGTTTGATTTGATTTTATAAACTAAAATATTCTTTAACGATAATCATTAGAAAACTGCCTATGGCCATAAAGCAAAGCGCTCTAAGTATCAATGCTCTTGAGCAAGGAATAATTATATTTAAGACTAGAGATTTCTCGCATAATTTCAAAGAAAGCAGTACTGATGTATTTCGACGACAGCCAAAGTGCTGCTGTACGTTATGTCAGTATTTTCTTGCTAAATTATAATTGCCGTGTACCTGTAATAAGGTCGAATATATCTTATTTTGTTGTACTGCTACAACTCACAATAAAGCCAGTCAAACTGAATAGAGATATAAGTCTAATTTATTACAGTTTATGAAAATTGTATGCTCATGTAAGCTAGTCTAAAAATAAGGAAATAGTACAGCACAGGGATCTATTTCTCAGTTCTATTCTCTAAATCTACTGGCTAATAATTCAGTGTTTTTTCCAACTCGCTACAGTACTGTAATCTTAGAATGAGGTGATGTAATAAATGGTGAAGGCGTATTAAATAATTACATACGTAACCATCTTAAACATAAGGCAACTTATATTAACGTTCTTAATTGCGAATTGAATGCTTATCTGTTATTGATATGTAATTGTAGCAAATAATAAAATCATAGTAAATATCGGGTTGAATAGATACTGTTAAATAGATATTACTGTAGAAAACCACGTTACTTATAAATAATAAATGATTCTCCTCTCTTGCACAAGCATTCCTAGTAAGTGAAATTTGTTCGGTATTAATCCTATAGCAAATCAAAACACATAATATAATAAAAGCTTTGTGTGTGAATACGCTTGCGCAATACGATTCGTAATTACTGCGCACAATCAACACCTTACTACGTATGCGTGGCCGTGTTTGTCGGCAACGCGCAGAAGCATGAGATTACGTTTTCCCTTTGGGTCAATGCGCAGAATCGCAAAATTTAGGAAACTTGATCAGTGAGGTTAAGAAAATGAAATAGCAATTTTCGGGTAATTAATTTAAGCAAATAAAGCCTTTAATTTTAACTAAAAAATTTTTATATGAATTAGCATTATATAATATTACTACTGTATTTATCTTTATTAATTTTTAACCTTTAATTAAAGAAAGATTGAAATATCAAAATTGCAATTTACGCTTAGAATATCTATAGTAACTGTTATAACGTTCGAGGTGATGACGTAGTTTTTTTATTACTATGAACGTAATGGTCGATTCGAGTATCATTACTCATATTGGTATCGCTATAAATCCTGCTTTGATGATATTTCAATCTTAAATTTTTTTCTCTCC